CATAAACAAAAGAATAGAAAGTTACAGCCAGAAGGACTGAACCTTGGTGTTCTATTGGTACAGTGACTATAGTTACTAATGATATATATTTCAATATTGCTGAGTGATTTTAATTCATGTACCACAAGAAAATGTTAAATGATTAAGGCAGTGAATATGCTAGTTATTTGTTCACAAACACATATTCTTGCATACTTTTCTTTGAACATCAAACACAGTGTACCCTCATAAATTTGTATAAGTATATATCTATTTTTTTCCAAATTTGAAAAAAAAACATAGTGGGAGACATTCATTTCATACTACTTCCTCACTGAAAATGCATTGACATTAGGACCACAATGTACGGTATCAATCATCAACATTACAGAATCTAGAATCACCTAGGAGATAAGGCTCTGATCAAACTTGTGAGATGTATAGATTAAGATTAGCCTCTGGGAATGTCTGTGTTGCTAGAGTTTTCCTGCCTGGCCCACAGTCAGGACAAATCTTTCTCACCCGCCAGTCCCAAGCCGCTCAAACCCGATCAAGTAAACACAGAGACTTATATTGGTTACAAACTGTATGGCCGTGGCAGGCTTCTTGCTAACTGTTCTTACAGCTTAAATTAATCCATTTCTATTAATCTATACCTTGCCACGTGGCTTGTGGCTTACCGGTACTTTACATCTTCCTTGTCCTGATGGCGGCTGGCAGTGTCTCCCCTCCCAGCTTCCTGTTCTCTCAGTTCTCCTCTCTGTTAGTCCCGCCTATACTTCCTGCCTGGCCACTGCCAATCAGTGATTTATTCATTGACCAATCAGCAACACATTTGACATACAGACCATCCCACAGCATGTCTGTGAGGGATCATCTTCATTAGTTGACTTCACATAGGTAAACCTTTTCAACTGTGGGCAAGACCACGCTCTACATAAGGATCTTGACCTGCAGAAAATGGAGAGAGTGAGCCAAGCTCTCGCATTCTTCATTCTCTGATTCTCATTTGTGGATGTGATATGAGCAGCTGTTTCAAGCTCCTTCCACTTTGTCTTCCACTCTATAATAGTTGTATGCTTGATGTGTGTTCCCAAACATCTATGTGCCCAAGTAAGGGACAAAGGCTCTTCAACTGGCTTTTGCCAGGTGTTATGTCACAGCAACAAAGACATCATCCCTATGACCTGGAAATGATGTCTTCACTGACATGGTTCTTCCTGAAATGGAGTCCTGCTCTCCAGTCATGATGGAGAGGAAAATCGGACTTCATGATATCCCCACAGAACCCTGAACTAAGTGGAGTAAAGAACAATATTAAATACAAACACTGAATTGTTCCCATGATTTTCTCTATTTTCTCATTTCAAATAAAGTCATTTTCACATGTAAGCAATTTCCTTTTCAGTTTCAAAGAATAGACTTTGCAAGGAACAAGGAGCTTTGAAAAGTCATTTACACATCTTCCTCTTTCCACTGCCCTCCTCTTCCTGAGTGAGAGCCTTCGGCAACACAGTTCTTTACCTTTCCATGGATCTTCCTCATTCTCCATCATGCATATTTACTCAGAAGGCATTTATAGGGCTGAAGAGAATTCTCATTGGTGAGCTTTAGCTGCTCTTGCCGAGGATCTGGGTTCAATTCCCAAAATGCATGTAGTGGCTCATAAAGAGCCATAACTCCAGGGATCCTACTCCCTCATCTGGCCCCTGAAGGCACTAGGCATACAAATGGTACATGGACATGCATGTAGCCAAAACACATGCAGAAATAAAAATAAGTAAATAAATAAAAAAGAAGACACTGGTATCACATCTATTTCTTTACCAGTATGCCATCCATGGCTATTAAAGCTGACAGATCATTAATGGGTTTATCTTAAGTGCATCTTGGAACAAATGTCAAAGTGTTCTCAGCGATGATTGGTTGCTTCAAGTCCTCCAACCTCATCCTCTCACACAGACTCAGAGAATCTATCTGCACAGGCCCTCTTGAGAGAAGCAGCACATATAGACTCTAGGCTCCTTAAGCAGGGCAGATTCTGTTCATGGCTGTCACTCTGTATAAAGACCTCACATATCTTGAATGGAATAATGAACTCCTACATCTTCAGGTAACACACTGCTGACTTTAATAAAGAATAGTATGTTAATCTTTTATCTGAGTTATTGAAAACCTTCCTGTATCTACCATTTCTTGTCATGGATATTGGGTAGCCACAGACACTCATCCAGAGAATAAAAGAAGATTTTATATGCTAAAACAGAAAAGTGATTTTGGTTTTATACTGTGTCAAGATAATATGAATCTCAGACTAACATTTTCTGGGCCTCCTTCCAAAATGATGCCCATGGAAGATAGTGCTGTTTCTCAGGAGCTCAAAGTCATCAGCTTCACACTTCCTGATTTCAAAGCTGGAAGCAAATTAATGTTTTCAACCAGCATGTTTATAATCCATTTTTAGTTACAGCCCACTGAATATAATGCACCAGGACATGGGGGGGGACTTGATAAACAACTAAGAACTGTGGGGCCTTTTATATTAACACAAGATTTTTATCATTTTAGTCACTATGCTCTCAACTTATATACTGTGAGAAGCACATGCTTAACTGTAAGACCCCTGTCTCCATGTGTCCAATCTGAATGAGCAGCAGTAAATGACATGAAAGCACAATCTGAGCTCACTGCAGCTGTCACAATGCAAAGTACAGAGCTTAACAAAGATCAAGAGCACCTGACAACTTGTTAGACACTGACAGGGCAGATACTCCTCTGTCATATTCTTGACCTTGAGATTGGGAACTTCCTTAATCCACATACTGTTTGTATCTCTCTTATGATGGTTTGTTAGCAATTCATAGATGAGATGTGAATATACTTATCAGAAATTATTTAATATTTTATACCTGGGAAATTGATATATAACATTATATATTAAATGCAAAATAAAGGGAAAATGCATAGTGATTAAATGTATATTTTGCTCTGGAATAATCCTTTTGTATGCTGTGAATATGTATTACTCTCATTTGTTAATAAAAAGATGATTGCCTGATAGCTGTGCAGGAAGAGATTGAGTGGGAGAGCCAGGCTAGGAGAATTCTGGGAAAATAAAGGGCAGAGTCAGAGAGTCACTGGCAAATGCAGAGAAGAAGGTGAGAATGCTGTACTGAGAAAAGGTACCAAGCCACATGGCTAAATACAGATAAGAATTATGGGTTAATTTAAGTGTAAGACTTAGTAACAAGCCTGAGCTATCAGTTAAGCATTTACAATTAATATAAGTCTCTGTGTGGTAATTTAGGAAGCAGTTGTCAGGTATTTGGCAGCAGGTGGTCAAGACAGGGAATGTCCAACTATACATATATTTAACTTTTAGTAGTATTCTTGCCTTCATGATAAAACTTTAACCTCAAATAAATAATTTGCTTTGGATAGAAAATGACATCATCTGTTTTACAACTTGTTGATTAATGATACATTTTTGAGTGATTGTCTCCATGCATAGATTAGACTGGCCTAGAACCTGCTATGTATCCCAGGCTGACCTCAATCATATAAGCCTTCTGCTTCTGTCTCCCCAGTTTTGAGATTAAAGATATGAATCTCAACTTCTTCTTCTTCTTCTTCTTCTTCTTCTTCTTCTTCTTCTTCTTCTTCTTCTTCTTCTTCTTCTTCTTCTTCTTCCTGAGACAGGGTTTCTCTGTGTAGCTTTGGCACCTTTCCTAGAACTCACTCTGTAGCCAAGGCTGACCTGGAACTCACAGAGATTCACCTGCCTCTGCCTCCCGAATGCTAGGATTAAAGGTGTGCACCACCACAGCCTGGATGAATCTCAACTTCTTGCCATGATATTTTATTAATTTATTTTTCTGTTATTTTGTACTTTACACATAATACTGGGTTTATAATTTACTTATTATATATAATTTCAGAGTTCACTAATCTGAAGTCCAGGCAGATTCTGTGATTTGTTATTATTATTGATTTTCATTCATACTCAAACATTTTTCCCCCTTGGATGGCAACCCTCTTTGATGGTGTGGTCTATTGGTCTCTATAAAATTATTACTTGATTTAGGTTGGCTGTGCCCTTTCTGGAAAGACTTTTACCTGATCATGATGTCAGAAAGACCATCTTAATTAATTAATCCAGTTTCAATCCTGCTAATTTCTAGATTACACTAGAATTTTTAGATTATACTAGAGTATGTATTTCTGAAACAAAAACCAATGACTTTGTGAAGAAATCTAGTTGTTTTATTCCCCTTCCATTCCCCCAATTTAGAGCCCTCTTTCCATTTCCTGAAGTTGTGGGGCTAATACTTGGTAGCTTCTGCTGGGGTTGTATTTGCTTTGAGATTAAAGTAGCTTTGATAAAAGTCTTAAATTAATATCTCCCAGGATTTCTACAGAGCAAATATGGAATATGGGCTTCTCTTTGCATGTCTGTCCCACATTTAGCCTGGAGGAGCCCAAATATCTGAGGTACTGTTGTTCATTGTCCTCAGTATAAGAGTGACTTTGTAGATGGGAGAGAATGAACAAATATAGCCTCAATGCTCTCTCTCTGTCTCTCTCTGTCTCTCTCTTTGCCTTTTCTCTTTTCCTCTCTCCAAACCATCCTTTCTTTCATTGCATGTTTTCTTACTCTGTTTCTTTTGATGTTGTGATTTTTTCGAATATACCATTTACCCAGGACTCACAGTCTGAGATAGCTCTCCTAATGTTTCTGAAAAAGTCACCTGATTTAACTATGTCTTGGATTTTACCAAAATTGATTTTAGAATACCTAGTAGATTTCTGTTGGAGAGCTGTAAGCCAATATATTTCAGTGATTGCTCATGTTCTCTGTGATGATATTTTTGCCTGTTGATTGACACCAGTCACTCTCATACAACCACCCAGGCCTTTGCTTTTGTATTTGCTGATTGCTTTGCATGACCCCTGCAGCCCAGCCCAGCTGCTCAGAATATATAAACCTGGCCTTTGTAGTGAGAACAGAGCTGCGTCAGACAGCAGGGGGAGCAAGATGGAGTCACAGAAGCAGGTCCTCATGTCCCTGCTGCTCTGGGTGTCTGGTGAGAAATTGAAAAGTATTATAATCTTTTTAGAGTCATTTCTTTGTATATAAAAAATTAACAATGTGTGCCAGGCTGTAATATTTTTATTCAATAATACTCTGACAATATGACATTACAAGGACATTAAATGACAAATTTCATCTGTATTGAATACTGTGGGTGTTTTTTTATTATGCATGATCACTTGTTTTCCTGATTGCAGGTGCCTGTGCAGATATCATTATGACCCAGTCTCCATCCTCCCTGGCTGTGACAGCAGGAGAGAAGGTCACCATCAGCTGCAAATCCAGTCAGAGTCTTTATTTAAGAATCACCAAGAAGAACTACTTGGCCTGGTACCAGCAGAAACCAGGGAAGTCTCCTAAATTGCTGATCTACTTTGCATCCACTCGGGACACTGGGGTCCCTGATCGCTTCACAGGCAGTGGGTCTGGGACAGATTTCACTCTCACCATCAGCAGTGTCCAGCCTGAAGATCTGGCAGATTACTACTGTCAGCAGCATGGTAGTACTCCTCCCACAGTGCTTCAGGCTCCAACAAAAACCTCCTCTGAGAGTCTCACCAGCTGCCTGCACTACACACACAGCCCTGGACCTGTGCACTTCCCCCTTCTGCCTGAGAGCCAATGTGTCTGAAATAATGATGAAAAATTTTGCAGAGCCCAGAAATAATAATGAGTTCAATGTCTCTTACATATTTTGGTATGAAAAACTTTGTAAGTAAATGCAGGAAAGAACTGTATATTATATGACATATTTTCGGTAACCAACAAATTCTTTTGCTTGAATACAAGTGATTTACCTTTTTATAGTTCTGGAGTTCTGGTATCCAACATAAGATTATTTGGTCTGAAGTGATGATGATGATGGCAAACTGTATTTTTATTTGGAGACTCTAGGAGAGAGTGTTTTTTCTTTTTCTAGATTCTAGAGAGATTTTTTTTTTTTACTTCCTTACTGGTGCCCATTTCTTCTTTTTTTTTCTTTTCCTTCCCTTAAATTCCTTTAATTTTATTACATTTTAGTTAATTAATTACCTTTGTGTGCATGTATGTGGCCATTCATTTGTGTGTATGTGTGTACATGTTTGTAGGTGCACATGTGATATGACATGTTTGTGGAGGTCAGAGAGTAACTTGGACTTGATCCTCTCTTTTTGATATTTGGTTTCTGGAGATCCAACTCAAGTTTGACATCAGGCTTGGTGGCAAGTGCCTTTGCCCTCTGGGTCACCTTACTGGCCTTAAAATCCTTTATTGATTTTTTTCTGTCTCTCTCATATACAAACATTCAGGGACACACACACACACAAACACACACACACGGACACACACACGGACACACATATGCACCCATAAATATGTACATACATACATACACACACATACACATGACACACACATCTACATATATACACACACATCCAGATATATGCACATGTATAGACATACATATATACACAAACACATGCACTCATACAGAAAGATACACATACATACATATACTTTTCTTCCTGGAGTCCCTCTTCCACTTTTTCCACTTTTATTTCTCTTTCTCCTACACACACACACACACACACACACACACACACACACACACACACACACGTATCACACACATACACACATATACACTGTGGCAGTTTGAATGTAATTGGTCCCCATAATCTCATAGGGAGTGGCATTATTAGGAGGTGTGGTTTCGTTGGAGTGGGTATGGTCTTGTTGGAGGAAGTGTGTCGGGGGGAGCCAATTTTGAGGTTTCCTGTGCTCAGGATACCACCCAGTGCCTCAGTTGAATTCCTGTTTCCTGCAAGATCTAGGACTCTCAGCTACCTCTCCAGAACCATGTCTTTCTGTCCACAACCATGCTCCCCATCATGATGATAATGAACTGAACCTCTGAAATTCTAAGTGAACCACCATAATTAAATGTTTCTTTATAAGAGTTGCCTTGGTCATGATATCTCTTCCCAGCAACAGAAAACCTAGCAAAGACATACACATATATACACACATACACACATGCACTCATACAGAAATACCCACATACACACATGATGTTCATATCTTTAGAATCCATACTTTTAGGATCCACAAAGGAGAGAAAATGTGGTATTTGTTGCCGCTCTCTCTGGAGCTACGTCTCCCTCTGAAATCTCTATGTCTGAATCCCAACTGTGGAGACTGAGAAACCTCTCTCCACTCTAATGTTGGATATAATTTTGTGTCAGCAGATGCTGCCTTCCAGTCTTTACATTTCATATCAGTTAATAAAGCTTAATGTTTTAGAGGAGAATATTTTGTGCTCCTGTGTAAACAATAAGCTAAATAATCTTGGCCATATTCTCATTAAGAAACATACTGAACACATATCTTAGAAATATGGCAGGGAACAAGTGTGTTACAGACTACATAAAATTGCTGGAGATCTTCAAATACCTTAAAAGTGAGTGGGTCTCTGAGTGATTCCGGGGCAGTGAACACTTAAGCGTCAAATAAATCAAGAGGTACTTAGACCAACATATGAATCATAACACATAAAACAAGACAGTGAAAAATCAAGTTAAAAATGATGGCCATATAGGATCATAATTCCCTCAAGGATTCAACTCAAATATACTGAAATAGGTAAAAATGATGGGTGAAGATTTCAAAAACATATTCATAAAATGACAAATTTGCCAGTGATCATGTCAGAGGAGCAGCAGATGACAATTGAATTCAGGGGATCGGCCCATCAGGAAACAAACCCCTGATGGGTGAATCTCGGTAGTCAAGGCCCCGAGATCCTTGGCCCCAGAGTGTTTCTTGTTCCTGCCATGTCTTTGCATGTTTGCCGCTGCCATTTTTCTCTGGTATCTGGCATGGTATGAATGGGCATGGGGAGATCCCCATTGCCATGAATGCAGTATGATCATCTCTTGAAGATAGCTCATTCTAGTGTGCACTTTTTACCTGTGGATTATTATGAAGATGATTTCCTCATAAACTGAACTGTTAAACTGAAACATTTATTTTATACAATAGTAGTGTTAGTTTAAATAGGATTTGGATGATTAAGGTCTTTAACAAATATAGTAATGGATTATAAAAGAGGTTAGTTTAGTGGGGAAATTAACATAGGTAAAGGTAGGATAAAATGCGGCCCCTTGCCTCTAATAAAGCAGAGGCTGCAGAGTATAAAAAAATAAAACAAGGAAGTGTCATAGAGCTAGAACACATGAGGTTCTACTGAGGAGCCTTATAGACTGTGGCTTAGGTTAATGATTAAGAAAAACAACTGACTGGACTCCTGGGTCTCAGTCTGGTGTTTGGCTGTGAATCTCTGTATCTGCTTCCATCAGTTACTAGATGAAGGCTCTATGATGACAGTTAGGGTATTCACCGATCTGATTACCAGGGTAAGCAAGCTCAGGCACCCAGGAGTCCAGTTGAAGAGAGGGAAGAGGGATTCTATGAGCAAAGGGCATCAAGATTATGATAGGGAAACCTATAGAGTCAACCAAAACAAGCTAGTGGGAACTTATGAACTTTAGACCAACAGCTGTGGAGTCTCCATGGGACTCGACTAGGCCCTCTGCACAAGTGAGACAGTTGTGTAGTTTGATCTGCTTAAGGAATCCCCAGGCAGTAGGATCAGAATCCACCTCTGGTGCATGAGCTGGCTTTTTGGAGCCCATTACCTATGGTGGGACACCTTGCACAGTCTTGATGCAAGGGAAGGGGCTTGGACCTCCCTCAACTCAATGTACCAGCCCCTGCTGACTCCCCATGGGAGGCCTTACACTTTTGGAGGAGGGAATAGGGGTTGGTTGGGGGAAGAGGCTGGAGGGAATGAGAGGAGGGAGGAGAGGGGGAATCTGTGATTGGTATGTAAAATGAATAAAAAACTACTTAATGAAAAAAAAAGAAAGAAAAACAATTGAGTCCCAGTAGCCCAACTAACTTAAATTCTTTTAATCTTAATGTGGAGAGATGTGTTCACAGATTTCAGAGTACATCATAGCTAAAATAAAGTTTGAAAATAACAATGTTAGACTAAGATATTTTTGACAAATAGCTTTGAGGTGAAGAGCCCAAGAAGACAATCTAAAGTTTTAGAAAGGCTTATAGATAAGTGAGGGACCTATTAAGGTCAGGTAATAAGAACAAAGCAGTCCAATTATTATTAGCTGACATACCTTTCTTGCTATGATTGGTTGGTGATCAAAGATGATGATTAATTCCTTGTGCCCATTTCTACCCTCAGCTTCCTGAAATAAAAAACTGTTGATGAGTGGGTATGCACCCTGAGGATTTAAAATAGAGCTGACTGATTCTTTTTAATATATAAAAGTTTAGGTTTGTGATTCTTTTAAATTTCCTTATAAGATTACCTTTCATGATAAATAATAAAGTGATTGACTTTTTTCTTTTTAACTATAATATGAAGCCTGCCAGTAAAAGAACTGGCTGAGAAAAATAACTTGATTACTCATACTCTGTTAATCTATAATACATCCCTTAGATGTAAATGTATGTGGGTTCTTGGGATAACTTTGTTTAATCATATATGGGAAATGAAAAATATGTTTTTGAACCTGTATTCATTATAATTACTCACCGGAAAACAGAATGTAACCACACTGTAATTTTTATATTTTCTGAAAGATTTTGTTGGGATATAAAAGCTGTAGAGAGAAAAAAGTAAAAAGATGGACGAACAGAATACAAAATAAATCAGAAGGAAATCATTAAGACTGTGTGTATCTTTTTCCTTACTCCCTCAGGTCCTAGTTCACCAACTCCATTCAATCCCCATCAAGTGCTGGGTTGCTGGAGGCTGGTCCTCGTGGCAGTGGTATGAATTATCACAAATAAATACAAACAAAACATTTACTCCACCAAGGCTGTAGAGAGAAAAAATGACAAACACAAAAAGACATTCAGTTCCCTAAATGGACCTCACCAAAGAAGGACCTTTCCATGTCATAGATCACATCTATTAGGTAAAAAAATACAGAGGAAGGAATCAAACTCAAAAGATATAATAGAAGAATTTCAAAGACAAACACAAGAGAGTGACAGCTGAACTCTCATTGCATAATGTAAAGGCCAGAAAAGCATGGAACAATATATTTCAGGTCCAACCATAGGTAATTGTTAAATAAGTTAATTATATCCAGCAACATTGCATTTTTTTTTTTTTTGGCTTTTTGAGACAGGGTTTTTCTGTGTAGTTTTGGTGCCTGTCCTGGATCTCACTCTGTAGACCAGGCTGGCCTCAAACTCACAGAGATCTGCCTGGCTCTGGCTCCTGAGTGCTGGGATTAAAGGCGTGCACCACTGCTGCCTGACTGAATTTTAAATTAAGGTGAAATTAGATTTCAAGTAAATCACAAGCTAAAGAAGTTCATGACCTTAAAGAAAGCACTGCAGAAGATACTATAAAAATGCTATGCACATAGAGCAAAAGTGCCTCAATCATGAGAGCACAGGCAAAATATTAACATCAGGAGAGGGATGGATGAACAATGGTTGTCAGGACAAGGGATAATTTTGTCCAACAGTGTAAGCAAGAAAATTCCAATGTAGTTGAGGAGTAGGGAAAAAGGAAACAACAATCTAATCCACTAAGAAATCCCAACAGAATTACAAAAGTAAATGGACATTTCCTAATAACCTTATATGACCTCACCTCAATTCAGTAATAAAGATGCACATATTGTTGGACTACGTTAAAAAACTATACACAACTGTCTGTTTTCTCCAGGAAATATGCCTAACTGGTAATGACACATGGGTACTGACAGTCAAATGATAGAAGTAACTCTACCAAGAGAATGGGGGCCCAAACTAAGCTAGCACAGCTCTGCCAATACAGTA